TACTATAATAAATATTAGTATATACTAAAACAGTGGATAGCGTTGAAGGCGCGCTCTGATTGGCTAGTCAAACTCCGAATATCCTTTGCTATTTACCTCCGAGCAACTCGAGAAAAAGTGGCGTGCCGGTTTGCATCCGTGACAAGCGAATAAATCACTCAAATAACAACGAAGCAGTCCCTGAAAACACAGAGAAAGCGACTAAATTTGGTTTGGCTGTGTTTAAAGGTAATGGTAACCAGGAGTTTATCGATAAAAACCAGTGAAAAAGGTTTTGTTTACAAATGCAAATTAATCTTGCATAACCTCACTTGTTTACTTGAAAATCAAAGTTGAATGGTATTTTTTACAGAATGGTTTCAAATACAGAAAGAGTTTGCAACACCATTGGAAGAAATGTCGCCACCAGAGCTAAACAAAATGTCTTCAGAAATTTTATCTGTCAGCGAAAAAACGAGACGGCAATTTTTACAACAAGAAATCACTTACCGCTATCCGAGCCGCGTTGGATCGTTACGCGTGGGAAAATGTTCGCGGCTCAGTAAATATCCACCACTAACCACCTCCACTTCGGTGAATAGTTGTTAATTATTTTGAGTTATCAGTAGATTAGCTCCCTTTCTTCTGATTGGATTGAAATTCAATCGAAAAGATTGTCTAAATTTTAAACAAATTAATGATAACTTACCTGCCCATCTGCCGCCATACTTAATACAAAAATTATTCCTAGTCGTGATTTGAGCGAACAAATAAATTCTCAAGCCTTTTAAGATGCTGAATGCCAGACTCAAAGACACCTTGGCTGTCCACAAAAGACCTACAGAATGGGAGGACAAACAAAAATTAAGGAACAATGACTTCAACACAAATATATTTTATGCCTGATGTACAGCGGTACAGTTTCAAATATGGTCTTATCAAATCATTTAGTTATTTGAAAAACTGCTCGTTCTGTCTTTATTCAAGCTTTCTTTATCGCGAAGCTCATACGTTTCAGTCTCTAAGCTGCATCCAATTTAGATATTTGTATCAAAAAGGAAATTGTCAACGTGGTATAAACCTCGAAGTCTCATTATCACATTTGCGAGTTAAACTTATATCTTGAAGAATAGTGAGAGCTAATATCAACGAAAGATTTACCTAAAAGAGCTAGTCCATTTTTAAAGCCTGATTTATCCAGAGATGATAAAATCCACGACAGATCGGCTCTGTGGGTCGCCATATTGAATGTTTGATTGAAGAGGAAAATAAAATAGGAACTGTGGACTCAGGATGGCGGATTTAGCTTTTTCCCAACTGAAATTCTTAGTTAGGACAATAAGCAGTTATCCGGGAATACTGATTAAAAGCTCATCTTCTCCGCCTGAATAACAGTTATGGGAAGAGGGAAAGAAGGAGGTAGGTTTGCGTTTTTAAAGTTCTATCATCTGTTGTTGTTTTTATTCCTGTTGTCCTAACCGCCTAAGGTTAGTTTTGAATGCCGTAATGTCGATGTCATTTCTTTGATTAATAAGGCTAATTCAAACAAAGGAAATTCAGGTCGATTTTTTGAAATGAGAATACTTTGCTGCTATTGCAAACATTGCGCTGTTTCTCCACCTTATCAGATAAGTGTCCGAAAATCACGTACAGTCAAGAATGGATTAGCCCCCGATGATTGATAACCGAGTTATTTTTCTAAAAAAGGAACACGAATACAACGAAAATTCCGGTCAAAGATACTTGACGTGTTTGAAAAATTACCTGTCGTCATACAAAACCGCAGTGGATACATTTCATGTAGCTCTGTTGGCCGATGGCATGCTAGGCATTCCTCTTGGCCTCACGAACTAACTGCTCAAGTTACAGGCCGCAGACACGACTCCTTGCAGGTTTTGTTTTCTTTCCCTTTGTTCTTCAAATTGGAGATGCGATTGCTGCCCGTGAAGCAGGTGTGAGTATCAGGCTTGATACCTTTTTCATTTCGTACAGAGGAATCCACCCGATGTCAAATGAAGCTATGTGCTCTCCGAGTGAATGAGAAATCCGACCTGGTCAGCTGGAAGTCAAGCACATGACATTCTTTTACGAGTAAACATCCGGCGTTTTTAATTTTTTTGGCTTTTTTCCAAACAGAGGATTCCGCTCGGCATCATTGAGTAATAGACCCCTTACACTTTGTCAGTTCAAAGACTCATTCAGTACCTGCGAAGCCTCGGTCAACTTTTCCCCAAATAGTATGCGTGCTCAGCTTTGGTTCGTGTTTATCTCGTCCCTTGTAATTCTCCCGCCAAAAGGAGCCACTGCTGCCACTCATTCCCCCGCTAGATTAGCGACTCCAACCGGATCTTTGGATACACGAGGTGAGACCAATTGCGATGCCGTCGTTTATGCTCCTAGAACCTCCACGCCTTTGCCTGGGTGATAACCCAGTGATTGTTTATCAATTCTGAATGACTGAATAGTTTTCGTAAAGCAAAATTCTGTTTGTCTATACCCCGACAGGTTATCAATATTTAACTTCTTCTCGAAATTTCAATATATTATCCCATGAAAGGCGATGAGTGCAAAAGAAGGTATATAAAAAATGAAGGGTGTTATCTTGATTAAACACATATTCTTTTGTACAATCAGTGCAAGAACGTGAATGATGCCCAGAGGGGAAATTATTAATTGGATCTTTCGAGTTGTAGGGTTAAGCCAATTATCAGCTACTTCAGGTGTGGCTCTTTCTCAGGCTGCTTCTCTCTGATCTTCTTGGCCAGTTGGACTGGACTCTTGACTGGACTGGACTGGACTTTACTTTTTTGTTAAATTGTATTAATATTAAATGGAGTTAATATTTAACTAATTATTTTTCAATTAAAAAAAATGAAAATTAATCTAAAAAATTATCCGAACGCTCCTCTGCGATAGCGCGTGGCTCGGGCGATATAAATTTTGTTCTGCGTGCAGCCTGCCGGTGAGTGAAATATGCTTTGTTTCCAAGCTTGCAGAGTGTTGACAGACTCAAAACACAGAATAACGAGTTACAGTGCCTCGTATGAAAAAAGTAAATAAATGAATTGGAGAAAACGCCCGACTGTATTACATTTTACAAAACAATTCGATGTCGACATTTTACTTTCTAATTCGTCTATAGATTGGCCATGTCCACGCGAGGCCCGCGCGAGGAAACTTCCGGTATCTGGCGCGCAGTTGTCAGTAAGAAAGACGTTTTTTTTTTCAAAGGTTCTGTTCTGGGAATATCTGGATTATAAAGGTTACTGGCAGGTGTGTTGACAACCGTATTTGCAAGTTTAAGATTAACAATCCGACGAGACACGTAATCTCTCGAGTGCGATTGCCACGTTAATTCGCTTCTGTCAACTCTGTGTTAAAAAATGAACTGCGGAAGTAGTGGTTTCTCTGACAATGGAGAAGAGAAGGCTAGATCCAAGCGTACACACGCTAGTGTTGTCAGTGGAGACGATCAGTCAACTCCGTTGACAAATCCATAGACGAATTTGAAAGTAAAATGTTGACATCGAATTGTTCTGTAAAATGTACTACAGTCGGGCGTTTTCTCCAATTTATTTTTTTTTTCGCATACAAGGTACTGTAAGTCGTTATTCCGTGTTTTGAATCTGTCATCACTTTTCAAGCTTGGAAACAAAGCATATTTCACTCACTAGCACGCAGAACAAAATTTATATCGCGCGAGCCACGCGCTATCGCAGAGGAGCGTTCGGGTAAATTTTAGATTAATTTTTATTTTTTTAAAAATTTAAAAATCATTAGTAAAATATGAACTCCATTTATTATTAATACAATTTAACAAAAAACTTAAGTCCAGTCCATATTTTCCCACTGGCCCCTTACGTATAGGTCATTTAATGCTTATTGGAACAAGGGCGCCGTTAATCGAGGGGGGCACTTATTAAATGGCGCAGCAACAGGAATGTATGTATGTTTGTATGTATTTACGATATTTAGACAGGCCAACCCAGTTCAGCTTGAAGCTGGTTTAAATGGGGGCCTATACATCCCACCATCCCACCCCAGGGGAGGACATCCATCACACAGTACTAGTAATCTCGTGTGTGGGAAATTAACGTCTCCTACCCCAACCCTGCAGGAGACGGGACCTCCATTTATTCGTTCCCATCCGAGAAGACTAGAATATCTAACCATTTCTTGATGTTATAGAGAGGTAGCAAATTCTTCTCAATCATTTTAAGACCTTGAGTGTTGGTCCGGCCGGGGGGCTCGAACCCTCGACCTCTCCCAGACAACAATCCAGCGCACTATCCATTGGGCTAACTGGGCGGCGTAACTGCATGATTCGACCTCGGGTGATGAGTCAATTCGTCAACCACCGTACTCGAATCAAGGCAGATTAGGTGCATTGGACATGTGTGATATAAATCAATTCAATGTTTGTTGTTGATCCACATTTAATTTCAACTTTCTGTACTGTTTGGGATTCAAAAACCTGCTCATAGCCTGTGAGAATGTCTATTTCATGAGCGTGCGTTGGATATTTGGAGTCTTTTTTCAGCTCCTCAAAAGTTAGCGCAATGCAGCTCAATACAAGGTGACACGGAGTATGAGCTAATAACCGGAGTTATGCAAACTAATCAAAACATTAGAATGTACTAATCGTAGTTGAAAATTTCAGAACAAAGCATACTCGGGGTTCTAGTTGCCAATCAGAGCGCACCTTCAATGCTATCCAATGTTTTAGACGACTATATAATATCATTTGGAACAGTTTCAAGTTTATTCCATATTTTTACAGAGGCTTGCAAATTCGACTTTGAAAATGGGCTCGATGACTGGGAAAAGACTGGTACAGCCTTCAATAACCAGCCGACCTACGGTGACAACCCTACAGCCCGGAATCGGGGACAACCTGCCAAACAGAAAGGGGACTGGTGGATTGGAGGAGCTGAGAACAGACCATCGAATGCGTCACAGGCGGGACTAATGCAAGGAGACAGTCCACAGGGAACCATCACTTCGCCTCCCTTTGAAATCACAGGCAATAACATTTCATTTCTTATCGGTGGAGGCTGTGATATAAACTCTGTTCGTGCTGAATTGATAGTCAATAATAAGGTAAGAATCATGAATGTAAATACTGCAAAAGAGAACGCGAGAATCAGAAAAATATTTGAGAAAAAGAGCCCTTGAGCCTGGTTACTCCAATATAAGAAAGTACAATAACACGGAGTATTAAAAGATAAACAGCTGAAAAACGATTTACCGTGCCACTTAGCCAAGTCTTTAGCCTCCCTTTTATCAAAATAGCTACGAAAGAATTAAGAGAATTTAAAAGAAGGGAGATAGCGAACGCTCGTGTTGAAATGAGAAACGCCTGTACTAATCTTGAGTCCAAAAAAGGTAGACGTCTTCAAAATCTATCTACAGTACGACCAAGAGTTCTGGTTTCCCAGATGGTTATTCACTTTGTCGCTCGCAAACAATTAAATTAAGCCATGCAGCACTTAGAAGTTGATTCATTGCCGACGATTTTCTGTCAAATCTCTTTTGGAAGTGCGCGTGGTTGTCTCATTCTTGCGCCTGCTTATCCATTCTTGACTGTACGTGATTTTCGGACACTTACCTGATAAGGCGGAGAAACAGCGCAATATTGGCTGTAGTAGCAAAGGATTCTCATTTTATCCTTGCCGAGTCAGATATTCCTTCCGGTCATACTGCTCCACAGGTAATTTTTTTCGCTTTATTGTAGGATATAAAAGATATGCATATTTTTCATCACGAGTGAACCACGAGAATTTTTTACCTCACCCTCTTTACGAGATGGATCTTCATTCAATTTTTAGGTTGTCCGTAAAGAGACCGGCAAATGCCATGAGACAATGACTCGTCAATTCTGGTTTGTTGAGGATTTCATCGGTCAACATGCCCAACTCAAATTGGTTGACTTCAGTTCTGGTGGATGGGGTCACATCAACTTTGACGATCTGAAAGGTGACATAACCTGCTTAAAAGTGAAAAATTTTGGTATGTATCTAATTCATTAAATTAACTTTAACTGTTAGCCCCACACTGTGCTTTTTTAAAAGGGTCATCTTGAAAGAATATCTGAGAAAACTCTTTTCGATGAAACAGCTTTGTCTTCCAATTTGAATTATTCCAGTATCCTGCGAAAAAAAAATCTCTGTACTCAAGCCTTGAAAGGAGTTGAAAATTCATACCATTTCTTGAATATTTTCTAAAACTTCTCCACAGCGAGCTGCAAGTTTGATTTCGAAAATGGTATCGATGGCTGGCAAAGGACTGGCTCAGCGTTCAATAACCAGCCAACATACGGTGACAATCCCACAGCTCGTGGAAGAGGACAGCCAGCCAATCAGCAAGGGAACTGGTGGATTGGAGGATACGAGGACCGACCATCGAGGTGGGCAACAGAGGGACAAGTTCAGAAAGACACACCACAAGGAACTCTTACTTCTCCACCCTTCGACATACAGGGAAATTACATTTCATTCTTAATTGGAGGAGGCTGTGATATAAACACGGTTTATGCTGAGTTGATCGTCAATCACAAGGTGAGCATTATGAATCCTCATATTGTAGAATGGCTACATCACGAGTTGAAGATGTTCCAACGGAGATCAAGTGAGCGGATTTTTCCTCTCTAAGTATCTTTACGTTTGTTTACCGAATGAACTTTTGAAAATGGTTAACAAACAGAAAGTCATTTATAATTTTTGTCCAGGGTGCAGACCCGTGAGGTTATTCCTTCTCTCCAGCACCTGTCTTGCTACACCTTCACTCGCTCTCTCTAGGTTGTCCGGAAAACAACAGGGAAATGCCATGAAACGATGACTCGTCAATTTTGGTATGTTGGACATTTTATTGGTCAACGTGCTCAACTCAAATTGGTTGACTTCAATTCTGGTGGATGGGGTCACATCAACTTTGACGATCTGAAAGGCGACATAGCCTGCTCAAACGTGGAAAATACTGGTATTTATTTTGCTAACGACGTCCAAAATTCTAAAATAGATATTATGGGGTCAACCTGAGACAAGATTCAAGAAAACGTTTCTTGCAGGAGAAATAATCAGTTTGGATCAGCCTTCATGGGTCAGCTATCGTTGATTAATGACTTAAAGAGAGGGCCTCAGGGGAAGATATTTGCCTGGCTGTACTTGGTCTGTGCGCCATGACCGAAAGCCACATAAGTAGTCGTATGAACATTGAAATTTTGTCTATGTGTGAACCTAAATAAGGCGAGTTCACAAACAGAGGAACGACATGTTGGACAACTACCAAAACTTAAAAAAAAAAAAAAAAAAAAAAAAAAAAAAAAAAGCAAAACAAAACGAAACAAAACAAAACAATTATTTCCTTTATTTCTCTCAGTCAGAGCGAGAAACTCATGATTCATCGAAAAACGCAGCTTTTTCTCTCATTTCTGTTTTTCTGTTTTGCAACCGAGCCGCACTGGTGCGTGCCGAACGGTTTTTTTCCGAACCGGCTTACGTCAACCCGCCCGACCTTTCATACATCAGGTTTATAATGATATGGTTTTTTTACAGGATTCAATGAGCGAGGCCTTATGACTCATACCATTAACACTGGTATCTCCAAAGTAGAAAGCTGCGTGTTCGACTTTGAAGAAGGTATTGACGGCTGGCATAGGACTGGTTTAGCGTTTGACAACCAGCCGACATACGGTGACAACCCGACAGCTCGTAGGAGAGGACAGCCTGCCAATCAACAAGGGGAATGGTGGATTGGAGGATGTGAGGGACGGCCTTCAAAATGGGCTCCTGCAGGACGCACACAGGGAGACGGACCACAAGGGACTCTTACGACTCCATCGTTTATTATCGGGGGAAAATACGTCTCATTTTTGATTGGTGGAGGTTGTGACATCAACTCCGTTCGTGCCGAACTGATTATTGATCATAAGGTATGCAGAGCGAGTTCTGATCATGATTGTAGTTCAACAATAAATCCAATCACTCAATCACTCTTTAAGGAAGCTTCTCTAAAATGGTCATATGCAATAAGGTTTTTGTGACGGAAACGATCGCTTGACTTCCCGCATAACTCAGGTTTAGAGTAATATAAGGAACCTCGTTGAAGGGCGTCTGTTAGTGATATAAACGGCTGTAACTCTCCTGTTTCAGGTTGTCAGAAAATCAACCGGAAAATGCCACGAGACAATGACTCGCAATTTCTGGGAAGTTGGAGATTTCATCGGCCGAACTGCGCAAGTCAAACTGGTGGACTTTAGCTCTGGCGGATGGGGTCACATCAATTTTGATGATCTGAGAGGCGATATAACCTGTTCAGCCCCTGAAAACAATGGTAATTATACTTCTGTTAGGTTTGATTTGAACTTCTCATTGGGTCCATTGTGTGGTCAGGCACTCTTCTATGCAACGTGAAGGGTTACACTAGAATTTGTTTGAAGTGCTGTAGGAGATTATACATAGTTCTGCTTTCAATAAAGCCTTGTCCATGCCTTTTTTAGGTCGAGGCGAAACGACTTTCGGCACAGGAGATATGTAGCAAAGATATGCAGGGTAGATCCATGCTGTACACCAACTATGGCTACCAAATTTTTGTTAACATGTGTATTGTGTCGCTCAGACAAGAGGCCAATTACAAACTTACATATGCATAGGTTAAGAATTTCTCACGTGCCGACTTTTATTACTTTTACAAAATCAGTCTCTTTTAAAAGCGTTAGTGGCTTAAGTTCAATGTAACACAAAAAGCAGCTTAATAGCAGTGGGTAATATTTTCCTTTGGTTCACTACCCAGATATCTTTGGCAAATCCTTCTGTAAGTTCGACTTTGAAGATGGACTGGATGGCTGGGTTAGGACTGGCACAGTATTTGACAACCAACCGACCTACGGTGATAACCCAACAGTTCGAAACCGAGGACAACCTGCCAATCAACATGGAGACTGGTGGATTGGAGGATACGAGGACCGACCATCAAAGTGGGCGACAGCAGGCCGAGTCCAGTTGGATGAACCACAGGGAACCCTCACGTCCCCACCCTTCGACATACAAGGAGATTATATTTCATTCCTGATTGGTGGAGGCTGCGATATAAACACTGTTCGTGCTGAGTTGATAGTCGATGAAAGAGTAAGAATTTGTTAAAGTGGAGTTTGCCTCACAGGAATTGATAAGCAATAGGCTAGTAAGCCGAAGTAAGGTAGCCAGATACCATAGGGTAGGAGTTAGCCAATTAGAGAGGAGGATTATGTACCACGTGGTACAAATGAATCAATTATATGGCTAGTCATTTGATTAAATCAAAAAAGTTGAAAGTGTAAATTGGTCACCGTAAATGGTCAAAAAGGTGACGTTTTGAGCGTTAGCCCTTCGTCATTCGCTGAACCATTTGCAGTGGCTAATTTACAATTTCAACTTATTTGATAAAACCAAAATTACCTTGTTATACCCTCCCACCGACGTAGCACCACAGTTTCCTTAGAAACTTGTCCCCTTTATTCACATGGCTAGTCCGCCAGTCAAGATTTTGTCAAATGACGCTGCCATCTTGGATGCCAATCTGGCCAGCCATATGATTGGTTCACTTGTACCAAGTGGAACATAATGCTCTGCTCTGATTGGTTGCGTAGCATAGTGCCTTCGTATACTACCAGTACTGATTCTTGCAAATATTTTTACAAAGTTTAAAAAGCTATGTTTTCCTACTTAAATTTTTCCTTAACTGGGAGAATCAAGCCAAATATATATTATCTCTTTTAGGTTGTCAGGAATGCAACTGGTAATTGCCATGAGACAATGACACGAAAATCCTGGTTTGTGGGAGATCTTTTCCATCATCTTGCGCAAGTGCGTCTGGTGGATTTCAGCTCTGGAGGTTGGGGTCACATCAACTTTGACGATATGAAGGGCAACATAATTTGCACGGGCTCTAACGATGACACTGATCATTTTGCTTAAGTTTTCGATCGGGAAAAAAGCAGTCTGAGTATTTCATAGAATCGCATAATTAAATAAAATCATACATTCTGATTGGTTAAAGAAGCGAGGTGTTTAGCGTGGAATTGCGAGTTGAAAACGAGGCTGAGTGATTTTGTTTCACATCTTTCGTTTGGCGCTCAGGATAAAAATGTTGTGGGCTTTTACCACTCGCTTGGACAAATTAATAAAAAAAGGTACCAAGACTGTATACTTTTCTTCTTTGATTCTCTCGTCTTCTATTGTTGCCACTACCTTCTACTACCACAACTATTTCTCTTCTAACTTCAGCGAGGAGTGCCCTCTCATTTAATGCAAAAATCACAGACATGTTTGGGTTAGCTGACCGTGGGAATTTCCAAAACAGGATATTCAGTGTGGGTAAAACTGAAGGTCAGTTTTACCAACCCAAACATTACCACCTAGCAAACTAGTTATCCTCAACCATAACAAGCGATTAAAATGTCTAGCACGGTAAGAACTGAGCCAAGTTCAAGCACACACTAAAAAGAAATTTTCAAAGCTATAGATCTACCAAAATGGCACGAAGGGGCGAAAAGGCGAGACTTAATAAAACACACTGGTAAACCTAAAAATACTCGAAATATCAATCCTCAATCTAATAAATCGATGAAGTTCAAGAAATCAAAGTAAAAGTGTCCTTTTTCGCCTTTTTTGTTTCTGTTTGTCTATCTGCTTGTTTTTTTTTTTTTTTTCCTTCTTCTTCTTTAGTATTACTATATTAAACGAAGTGTCCAAGTAGTTGATTGACTGGACTCTGCTATACTCTGTTATGTTACCCTGTCTGATATGAAAATAAAAAAGTCGAATGTCTTGCTCTTGCTTTTTCGTCACGATTTCATCATGCGAATGGACAAAGAGACAATTCAATGAGTTTGAACTGCTAAATCGGCACCAACATGGCGGCCGTGAAGTAACGCAATCATTTGTTGTCTTGTTTCGCCTGAAAAGTGGTTGGTTATCGACTGTGAGCTTGCGAGCATTCATCTGAACACATTTTGCAATGTTTCTAATGCTCAGAGAACAAAACGTGACACAATTAAATCATTTTTACTTAGGCATCAGCTTTCCGGGCCGCCGAGCGGCGAGAAATTACGAAATTGAAAATGGCTCATTTTCGAAATGGAGAACCCCACGACGCTGAACCTTTCCAAAATGGGTACTATTTAGGTCTTTCGCCTTCGAAAGTAAAACAGTAATATAATAGCCTTGTGTTATGGATTTTTATGACGTGAATACCCTTTCCCCTTTGACACTAAGTTGGCGACTGACTGATCCCCTTTCTGTCCCCCTGAAAACCATTTTGTCCCTCCAAAAACTCCTCCGTATCTACCCTCCCCCCCCCCGAGGCGATTGATATTGACTGTTCCCCTAGCGTTTGATACACTCATAAATTCTCTACGAAAAGTGTTATTTACTTGAGCAAAGCGAGTCGGTGAGAGATCTGCGAGCGCTAGACCGCTTGCAGGCATTTCGCCGGCTAGTCTTAGTCAAGGCCTTAACTTTACTCGTGGACAAAGAAATGGTACCAATCCGACGAGCGAGTCAAAAAATTTCAGCGAAAAAAAATTGATGTGTTTGCATGAGCGCTACACAAATAAAAGTTATTATTATTATTATTATTATTATTATTAGAGTTACACGCAGCTCGTCAATCCGAATCATCCTTTTTTTCCCTATATTACTGATTTTCTCTCTCGCACGACGAACTACGCTTAAAAGTAGGGGCTGCTCGCAATCTAGCGATAGCCTTGCGATAGCCTAGCGATAAGTGCTTCTAGCGCCTCAGTCTGCCCTGCTTTCAGCAAGCCCCTAATAAATATTTCTGAAACTCATTAACCATAATCAACATTGCCGTTTGTTGACAGATTTCCGGACGATGGCCACTCAATAATAACATTTTTGCATTGTGAGCGGAAGGCAAAATTTCAATTGTGTCATTCCCTTCTTTTAAAATCTTTTTTTTTTTCACGGATTTTTTCGAAAAGGAAGGACTGCTCGTAGTCTTCCAACTGGAGCGCTAATAACCTCCATTTCTCACAAGCTGTTGAAGAAAAAAAAAACCGGAAGTAAATTAGGCTCGATTTCCGCCACTCACTCGGGTCCGGTCTTTTTCGTTCCTCCCCGAGAAGAGTCTCTCCGAGGCGGTTTCGTTCCTCCCCGAGAAGAGATAGAAGCGGTTTCGACGCCTCTGAGATCCATCAAGGGTCGCTACAATGTACGAACGAGGAGTCTGGTGCTGTCGGATGACCACTGCGGGTGTCCATTCCCGTCCCTGCTTCATTCGCACAGCACTTTCGCACAGCACTGCTTCATTCTTCATTCGTGTAGTTTGGAAAGTGGCCGAGTGCCACAGTCATAGAATACTTTCTGACGTTGTTAATGGGTCAGCAGATTATGACGAATCTGAGAAGTAGACCTATGCTGTGGTTCAAGGAGGTTGTTGGAAGTTGGCAGTCTTGTTCTAAGCTTCCTACTCATAAGAAGTTCTGCTGGGGATTCATCCATTTCACTGATAAGAGAATTACGGAACTCTAATAAAGCGAGGAATGCATCCTGTTTTTACTCATCATGCTTTCCCCAGCTGATTAACGGTCTGTACGTTTCTTTCCACAAGACTATTATACTTCGGGTAGTGTGGACTTGAAGAAGAGCTGAAGAGCCACAGGAACCCGACGGGGAGGGTGCACAACAGGGGTGGCTTGGGATCAATTTGAATCTTGTGCTGGACGCCTTTAATCTCACACAAGCCCTCAAATGCGTCTGCATACCCGAATTCCAGGTTCTCTTCTTCAAGGCGGTAAATTCTCTTTATCAGGCCTAAATCAAGACAGGACTTCAATCCAAGAATGGATGGTAGATCTTGCTTAACAAGTATGAAGTTTATCACTGTGAATTTTCCTTTATACTCGCAAGTTAGGCTGACCTTCCCGCAAGGTGTGATTCGACGTCCATCATACACTTTCAGTTTGGCTTTGCATTGGCAGGACTGTCTGGGATCCACTGGAAGCTGATCAAACAACGACTTGGAGATGACATTACAATCAGCCTCCGAATCTATTTTGAAATTCACATTTGTATCAACGATCTTGAGCGAGACGTGCCACTCATCTTTAGAAGGACTTTCCACACTGCCCCTCCGATTCAACGACTGCGTGTACTGTTTTCCCCCCAAAATCCCGCAGTCGCTTCCGGCAAACCTTCGAAAATGATCCTTCTTCTGGCAGTAGTCACACGTTTTTCAGAAAGCAGGGAAAGAGCCCCACGAGTGAGAAGAACCACAAAACGTGCACTTTCCTTTTCGTAAGCCCGAACATGGTCTTGGGCGACGCGAAGGGTTCTTCTTCAATCTGTCACCGCCGCCTGCTCGAATTTCATTCACAGTCGGATTTCCTTTGTTTTGCCCCGTAGGACCCATATCTTTAATCTGTTCTTTCGAAGCCTCGGACGATCTTGCCATAGAAATCACTCTTTTCGGTGTAAGCTTCTCGTCTCTCAGTAATCGTTCCTTCACTTGTATATCTCGTATACTAAACACGATCTTGTCTCGCAGCATGTCATTAACTGGCGACGGATACTGGAAAGATTTCAATTTGTTTTTCAAACGTGTGACAAACTGACCCACAGTTTCGAAATCTTTCTGTGTTATCTGCCAAAACTGATACCTCTCGAACACTACGTTCTTCCTGGGGTTACACTACTGCTCAAGTGCTCAAGGACGTTGTCCAGCTTTTTCTTGACGCCTTGGACAAATTGAAATGTGTTGAAGACCTTAATGGCGTCTTCTCCTCCAAATTTTAGCAATATAGCAATCTTGACCGCATTGTCCTTCTTTCCTTTTCTCGAAGCAGTTAAGTAGATATCAAACTGCTGCTTAAATCTCCGCCAATTTTCTAATGTGTTTCCGTCGAGACTCAAAGCGCTAGGCTTGTGAAAACTATCTATATCCCACTCCTGACACCATGTCAAAAGATCCGAGTCGCAAAACGAAGCACGTGCGAGCCGTTATATAATAATTTTCAAGAGCATGCGTGTCACGCATAACGTCTCAACGTAATAGTAACTCGATTCCCAATCCAAGAGATCGACGTGGTAAATTTCTGTTCATCTTCTTCAGCTGGATCAAAAGTTACAACAGAAGGAATCCGAAGATGTCCAGAATCGATTCCAGCAGACATACGATAATCAAATTGTTAAGATAGAGCGAGTACAAAATCCAGCTCTCGATGTACAAAAAGTATCTGGTTCAAAAACAGCAAATGGATGAGGCAACGGGATGTAATGAACAAAGGCTCTTTCAAGCTAGCAGTTTCCAAGATAACCTAGGAATAAATGAGCAAGGTTCTGACAGACGTAGTTATTTCAGAAATTCACTATAATCTCTAACAGTATTTACAAAAAATATGATAAAAATTGGCCCACTTCGTTTAATAATAACGATAGCAATTATTTACAATTTTAAACCATATATCTAATTATTTATAAATTTTAAAAGAATTAATATTAATGTTCACGATTGAGAACTGATTACAATATATGAGGAAAGAAAAAATTTAAGCATTACTAAATAGGAAAAACTATTAAAATATAAAGACCTAAAATTATGACTGCAGATGTAGACCAGCTACAGAAATGGTAAGAAAAAAATTGATTTTCGTCCCGCCCCCTTGCTCTCTTTTATGGCATCTTCTCTAAATGAAAAGTACAAATGCCTACGAAGGCATATTCAATGATCGAGAATATCTCGAGGCTATTCAATATCATTAAAACTCGTCCAGAGGAATAGTTCTAGCTTCAACTATGCGCAAAATATCAGGAAATAAAAGATTTCAGTTAATCAACATTACTACCAAAACGTATGATCATACTTCAAGAAGACTATTCTGTTACGACCACGAAAAATATTATGTTTATCTGGCTTTACCAATCTGCCAAACGTAACTACGACCGTATACTATTTTTTTTATTTAATTCCTTTCAGACACAAGATACAGAAGAGGTACTTACTTTTATAAAAATGCCTCATCAGCCAGAGCCTTATGTTCGATGAACCCTGAGAGGGATTACCAGTACATGTAGCTTGCCAGGGTCTTGGTGGGTGAGTACACCTCGAAAAGGAAGGACCTTCTTACACCTTCCGTAAAGAACTAAAATGGTCCAACTGACACAATTGATAGCGTGGTCGACCAG